GCGACGCTTCCAGCTCCGCGTCTGCCCTTGCGCTCCTCAACTTTTCAATTGCCTCCCCCAATCGTCTATCTCCTTTTCAATGCCCTCCCCCCTTCGCCTCTCTCCTCTTCAATGCCCTCCCCCCATCATCTCTCTCCTTTTCAATGCCCTCCTCCCATCATCTCTCCTCTTCAATGCCCTCCCCCCATCATCTCTCTCCTCTTCAATGCCCTCCCCCCATCATCTCTCTCCTTTTCAATGCCCTCCCCCAATCATCTCTCTCATCTTCAATGCCCTCCCCCCGTCGTCTTTCTCATTTGCCCCGAGCTCATCGATTACCCCTCGCTGTTTGTCACCGGCCGCTTGGCGTGTCGCGTGACCAGGGCACGGTGGTCCAACACCTGAGCCTCTCCCCTCGCGCTCTCACCGTGCCCCGCGTGCCATCGCCACAACGACCACCGATCGAGACGGCGTCCGTGCTATGAAGGCCGCATTTTAACTTGAACAAAGGCGGCGAGCGCGCTCATTCTCAGACGAACGAGGCAGGGGGTCCGCGAGGCGAAAGGCGCGATCACAGAATGATTGCGGCGCCGGTGGGCCGCGTGTAACGGAAGAGTCGACGGTAATGGGTGCAGTGCTGATGTGTGATGATGACGGCAGGGGGAAGCAAAGGCGAAGTCGTTTAAAGTGCCCGGAGGTTGCTGGTGCTGGTGGTGGCTGCTTTACAATTTACATTTAAACCTTCCTCAAATCCCATATCCAGCCTGCCCCTCCCACCCGTACCCAAATCCTCCCACCCAATCGTCACCCGCCTCCCAAACTAAATCGCTCCAATTTTCAAAACACCGATGCCGCTGCGACGCGAAGCGGCCGCGCACCGCGAGTGCTTAAATGGCGCCCCCCGAAGCGCCCCGCTAACCTTCCCCCAGGCCTCGGCTTCTTTCCCCCGATCCGCTTCGCCCCGAGACTCGAAAATGTCGCGGTAAAATTGCCCACGCATCCGTCGTGCGAATGCCAATGTCAGGCGACGCGAGGATCTTCCCCGCGTCCTCGATCCCGCGCGAGGTACACGCGGAGGTCGTCACTGGAGGTGGCGGCCAGCGATGGTCAATCTACTGCTGGATGAAGGCCCTCCCCCCCCCCCCCCCCAGGCTGTCATCATCTCTCACGATCCCGCGGTGTAACAAAAATAATATTTAACGTCGACCTGTAATGCGCCACCACCATCACGGCCGAAGCCGCCCAGAAGTTGCTCGCTCTCGTCGAGATAGGGCGACTCGGAGGTGTGTGGATGAACCACCCGACAGGTTGCGTGGGGATGATGATGATGATGCTCTTCGTGTTTGTGAATCGGGCATTGGGCCAATGTTACACGTCCCACCATTCTGTTTTGGGTGACCACAGTCGCACACTTTAGAGTAGTTGTTGTATTTGCCCGTTTGTGCATCACCAAGTGTCTGCATCATCGCCATCATCATCAGCAGCTGCCGCTGCCATGGGTTTGTGTGCAGATTATGTGGTTCAGGGTTTGTGCCCAGAAGCTACGCAAAAGATCGAAGCCAGGGATATTCTGCGTTGTCGGCTGCTTGACGAGGAGGACGTGTTTGTCACTACCGGTGAACTCAATTCGGCGTTCTAAGCTTCGTCGTCGTCATCATCATCAGGGTTGAAGTGGCATCGTTGAAGGTTCGGCACGGGAGGTCAACCTGAGCTTGCGCCACTTAAATCGATGATGGACATCCGTGGTGATTGATAAGCGCTCACGGGTCCCTACTTCACCAACCTGTACTTGTCCCGTGTGGTGAAGCGTGACCACGTGTTGTCATAGCCGGGAGGTGCTGCCCGTGTGGTGAAGCATGACCACGTGTTGTCATAGCCGGGAGGTGCTGCCCGAGTGGTGAAGCATGACCACGTGTTGTCATAGCCGGGAGGTGCTGCCCGTGTGGTGAGGCATGACCACGTGTCGTCATAGCCGGGAGGTGCTGCCCGTGTGGTGAGGCATGACCACGTGTCGTCATAGCCGGGAGGTGCTGCCCGTGTGGTGAGGCGTGACTACGTGTTGTCATAGCCGGGAGGTGCTGCCCGTGTGGTGAGGCGTGACCACGTGTCGTCATAGCCGGGAGGTGCTGCCCGTGTGGTGAGGCGTGACCACGTGTCGTCATAGCCGGGAGGTGCTGCCCGTGTGGTGAGGCGTGACCACGTGTTGTCATAGCCGGGAGGTGCTGCCCGTGTGGTGAGGCGTGACCACGTGTTGTCATAGCCGGGAGGTGCTGCCCGTGTGGTGAGGCGTGACCACGTGTCGTCATAGCCGGGAGGTGCTGCCCGTGTGGTGAGGCATGACCACGTGTTGTCATAGCCGGGAGGTGCTGCCCGTGTGGTGAGGCATGACCACGTGTCGTCATAGCCGGGAGGTGCTGCCCGTGTGGTGAGGCATGACCACGTGTCGTCATAGCCGGGAGGTGCTGCCCGTGTGGTGAGGCGTGACCACGTGTCGTCATAGCCGGGAGGTGCTGCCCGTGTGGTGAGGCATGACCACGTGTCGTCATAGCCGGGAGGTGCTGCCCGTGTGGTGAGGCATGACCACGTGTCGTCATAGCCGGGAGGTGCTGCCCGTGTGGTGAGGCGTGACCACGTGTCGTCATAGCCGGGAGGTGCTGCCCGTGTGGTGAGGCATGACCACGTGTTGTCATAGCCGGGAGGTGCTGCCCGTGTGGTGAGGCATGACCACGTGTCGTCATAGCCGGGAGGTGCTGCCCGTGTGGTGAGGCATGACCACGTGTCGTCATAGCCGGGAGGTGCTGCCCGTGTGGTGAGGCGTGACCACGTGTCGTCATAGCCGGGAGGTGCTGCCCGTGTGGTGAGGCATGACCACGTGTCGTCATAGCCGGGAGGTGCTGCCCGTGTGGTGAAGCATGACCACGTGTTGTCATAGCCGGGAGGTGCTGCCCGAGTGGTGAAGCATGACCACGTGTTGTCATAGCCGGGAGGTGCTGCCCGTGTGGTGAGGCATGACCACGTGTCGTCATAGCCGGGAGGTGCTGCCCGTGTGGTGAGGCATGACCACGTGTCGTCATAGCCGGGAGGTGCTGCCCGTGTGGTGAGGCGTGACTACGTGTTGTCATAGCCGGGAGGTGCTGCCCGTGTGGTGAGGCGTGACCACGTGTCGTCATAGCCGGGAGGTGCTGCCCGTGTGGTGAGGCATGACCACGTGTCGTCATAGCCGGGAGGTGCTGCCCGTGTGGCACGTGACCTGTAATCCAGCGCTGTGGAGGCAGCAGCGGGGGTTGGTGGGTCGCACGCAGATGATGTGAAGCTCCTTGCCCGTGGGGCGTCGAGGAGGGTACCATAGCCTGGCTCGCCAGGAGCAGACAGAAAGGCAAGGGGACTAATCGCCATCTGTTTCGATCGAAACGGGGATAGAGTGTTTCTCCCTCGCGCACGTGGGTTTTCCCCAGGTGCCCCGGTTCTCTCCCATGTGTGTTAAAAAAACAATCATCATGAAATAGCTGAAAACATCTAAAAAAATAAAAAAAATAAACTGTGCAGCAGCTGGCCTCTTTTGAAGAAGAGTCCTACAACTGTCTTGGATGAATAAGTAAACTATTATTATTGAGTATGTGTCTGCATGGTAGCTAACAGATGGCAGTGCGAAGTGACACCACTTCTCTTTACGCTTTGTGGGGGTTTCTCTCGGTCTCTCAACGTGTCTTCAATCTGCCCAAATCTCATTAATGGCATTAAAAATAAGAATCGGTTTGGCCAATGTCATTAATGAGATATTTACCAGACCATTTTTGCCAGGGGTGTATCAAAGTATAAAAAATAAGAATGTGTTTTTTTTTTTAACCCGTTCCGGCAATTAAACAGGTGTTAAGATATTCAAACACCAAATAAATACGTTTTGCAAGGAATCAAGTCTACATTCACAATACGCACTTGTGGTGGACGTGCAAACAAACATGCCTTGATAATATATGCATTGTCTTTGAAAATTATTGGCCTACACCAAAGGCAGCCTTCTATTTAGCGCCACAGCGCGTGGATTTGCAGCGTTCATTTTCATTTGCTTGCTGGTGACTTTGTGTATTTCATATCGAAATCGCCTCCAGTGCTTTTGCTGCAGGCGGCAATAAAAGTTGTTTAAAAGTCAAAAGTCTATTTGGTGGCCAAACATTCTCCACCAAGAGCCTTCCCGCACGAGTTCTCGAGACTCGGTGAAGCTCCTCCCGGGGTAAACAATTCACTTTGGCAACTCCGCGGGCCTCATCCTAAATTGGCAAAGGAACACACGAAGTGGAATTGGCCAGACGCGTCCAGTTTATACTTGCGGCGAGTCTCTGCGACGTTTGATGTTTTTTCTCTGGTATCATTTGATGTAATAAACTTCCAGAGATGCTCGTGGTATTAAGATGCTGTTATATTATTGTTACTATTACAGTGTTATGGGAACGCAAAGGTTTGAGACTCAGGCTTCTCTCGATGAATACATCAAAGCTGCATTATCCACTCATAAGCAAATGTGGATTTTACTCTGATATTGGCAAAAAAATGTGTCCATGTCTCCATAAATGACCAGCAATGGGGCAAATCACCAAGGCGATTGTCGTTTGGTGCATTTCTTCAACATGGGCCACAGGGTGAGGTGAGGCCCTGCTTCAATGATTAGCTCGCTACTCTACAAACCCGGCGACCCGAGATCGATTCCCACTCACGGCCAGCACCAGCGACGATTGTCTGAACCGGTTCTGGGCCTCCCCTAGATCGACTCAGACATCGCCACTGGGGAGACAAAGGCGGTCGGGTGTAGTTGCTAGCCACCCACCCCCTCGCGTGCCGTGTCGGCTTTCATAGGTTCTCGCTAACAGCACTTGCCCCAACAGTCTGGTCAGTCTTTACAGGTGGATCTTTGTCTTTGTTTTGGTCCGATAGAGCATTCGTATTATAATGATCGTATTACCTGTATTTACACTTGTTATCCCCCCCCCCATCTCCTCCCCTCCGCCCCTCCTCTTTCTCTGCAGACGCCTCGGTACCTCCTATCTGCCTCCTATACCATCTACAACGTGCACACCAGGTGAGGTCTACGCTGCAGGCCCCATAGCGGTGTGTAGGCACAGCAGACCCACACGGTGGCTTTGTGGATGCAGCAAACCACCTCCGACTTGCCGCCCTGTAACACAGGAGACATCCTGCACGTGTGCGTGGGTGGGGGCGCGGTAGTGTAGCGGTTAGCGCCCTGCGATACAAACTCGGCCACCCGATTTCGATCTCCCGCTCATGGCCAACACCAGTGACAATGATCTGATACCGGTCCTGGGTGACTCAGCCTCAAATGAAGTACCTGGCGCAGTGTGTAAGCACCCCCACTAAGGAGATAAAAGCGGACAGGCGTGCCAGAAGTGCTCGCTAACAGCACTTGCCCCAACAGTCTATCAAAGGGATATTTGTCTTTTGGCCAGAATGTGCGTTATGCATGTCTAGACCGGCGTAGTGAACAGTCACAATGTTCTCAAGCAGACAATAATTGAATCCATCACCATTCACGATAGCGTGCCTCCCACACAGTGTATCTCAAGGCGCTCGAGGAAAGGCGTGTTTAGAGATGATTACTCAGCAAGGAAGTGACTGCAGATCAAATAGTTGGGTTTAAAAAAAATACAGCGGAAACAATCATACGCAACAAAAGAGAAGGACAGAATTGAATAGTGAAAAATGTTTCCTCTCTCTCTTTTTTTTTCTACTTCGTTGGATGTATTAATGCACTACCTTTAAATGTGCATCTCCTTTCATCGTAAATTCATGAAAGGAGATAAAGTGTGGCCACATTAATGATATTGCCAGGCATTGCTGTCTCAAAACTTTAGTGGCATAAACATGCCGAGACGACCCGGCCACCTGGTTTTCTCGGCCACTCTGCTACCTGGCCACTCTGCTACCTGGCCACATGATCACCTGACCACTCTGCTACCTGGCCACTCTGCTACCTGGCCACTCTGCTACCTGGCCACATGATCACCTGGCCACTCTGCTACCTGGCCACTCTGCTACCTGATCACTCTGCTACCTGGCCACTCTGCTACCTGGCCACTCTGCTACCTGGCCACTCTGCTACCTGGCCACATGATCACCTGGCCACTCTGCTACCTGGCCACATGATCACCTGGCCACTCTGCTACCTGGCCACTCTGCTTCCTGGCCACTCTGCTACCTGGCCACATGATCACCTGGCCACTCTGCTACCTGGCCACTCTGCTACCTGGCCACATGATCACCTGGCCACCGGGCCACACGATCACCTGGCCACCTGTCGACCTGGCTACCCAGCCACGCGGCTTCTCTTAACAGACTCTGAATCGACTGCCACCATTCGCGTATTGATATCTTGAAATTGTTGTTTAAAATATTTAGTTTCATTTGAATTATTTTACCATTACCCAACCCTGGTGCATTTGCTTTGACGATAGAGGCCTAATTCCAGGGCTTAGTGGAATGAGGTTGCCATCTCTGATGTCCAAAAACATTCGACATTACCATGAGTAGAAAAATATCTCACAGTACCGGAGGAGGGGAGAACCACATGTGAATGCATCGTATTGAGTGGTTTGTCACCATGATTATGATTATCATGACATAACTGACGAAACAAACTGGGACGTTTACTGTCCTGGAAAGACTTGGGAGATTTGTCTCAACAGTTACCTCCTCGGCAAGAGAGTGATGCTGAGAAAACCAGGACAGGTGGCAACCCTAGCGGGTTGGATGCCCTCTCAGAGGCTCTCTTCTTCCTCTGCTGTGCTCCGTCTTTGGCCCGGGCCGCTCCGCTAGTGTTCACCACTCCCGGAGAGACAGAGCCCAGATGAATAATTGCACACCTTTTGTCGTAAATATTTCAAGCTGCAGCCAATTTAGACATTCGGAGTGAATACATACTGACTTTGGAAAGGCGAGAAAGTCAGAAATAAAAAAGGAGAAACATGAAAGGGTTGTTCTGAGAGTGACCTTGGCCAGCAGAGATTGTTTCTCTCTCATCAACTTGGGCAACACTCAAAAAAAGTTCACTTTTTTTACACAACTCTCTTCCCTCCCTCCCTCTCTCTCTCTCTCCTTCTCTCCTCTCTCTCTCGCTTTATCTCTTCGCTTCGGGCCACGAAACAATGTTGCAGAACAAATAGTCGACCCCAAAATCACGTCGTTTGCCCGTTGAACCAAAAGTGATTGGAGACATTACTGGAGCGGATGAATTTTGACTTTGCTGTTGTTGTTTTTATTGTGCCGGGACTTGCCGCCGTGGCGAGCCGCAATGTGTGCGTCCCACCGTTCATTACGCAAAACGAGCAGGACGGCTGAACGCCGAGATTCGTTTCGCACCGCGACCCCTGCCAGGTACTAGCGGCAGTTTCCAGCACACGGGAGCAGCAGTTTCCAGCACACGGGGCTCCGCGGAGGCACGAGTGTTTTGGCATACCTCGACAAAAAAATTCGGGGGCAATTAAATGAAACCTGACAGAAAAATCAAGCTCCCTGACATCCAGTGGGCGCACACTGTTTTATTAACCGTAGCGATATCACAGTCCTGCCCTTCTCAATGGACGTTATCACGTTAATCAAATCTGTGATTGGCAGGTGTGAATGCGTTTGATCCCTGGGCTTCCGTGTGTGCAGCTGAGAGGTAGCGGCATTGCACGGGGTGGTGCATCAGGCAGTGAACGGCGGTTCCTGCAACCCGTGCTGAATTCCTGGTCAATCGCCCGCACAGCGTTGTGCGGTCATTAGCGATTGGGCCGAGCTGAGACCGTCACCGACGCATTCCATTTGAGAAGCCAAGTACAGCGGTTCGCGCTCTGCACTATGCACCCGGCTTTCCCGAATTCGAGTCCTGGTCACGGCTGACATTGGTGGCGAGTGATACCGGACCCTCTGTCCTCATCTTTACCAACCTGGGCAACTCTGGCACATGGTGCCTGGGTGCAGTTGCAGCGCCTACACACTCGATGGCTGCTGCTTTACTCAACAGCCGATGAGGCTGAATTGCAGAAAGTCGTGTTGTTTGCATGTGTGTCTTTGTCCAGTCGTGCGGGGGGAGCAGTGGCGCAGTGGTTAACGCACTGCGTCACGAACCCGGCGACCCGAGTTTATTTCCCGCTCACGGCCAACACCGGTAACGATTGTCTGAACCACCGGTCCTGGGCCTCCCCTAGGTCGACTCAGTCTCAAATGAGTACCCGGTGCGGTGTGTAAACAACAGCACTCGGGAGACAAAGGCACACGGAACCTGATGCTGACCACCCACCCCCTCGTGTGCTGCGCCATCCTTCATAGGTGCTCGCTAACAGCACTTTCCCCCAAGAGTCTGTTAAGGCCGTGCGGTTGGGGGATCTCTGTCCCCGTCTCTGTTCCAGGGAACTGCATGAGCTGAAGGTTCCTGGAGGCTCGGAGGGCTCCCTGCAGTTCGCCGGCTGGGGCACACGCGGACAGCAACTCGTGAGTCCGCGACGAACAAACACCGCGAATAATAATGAGTACACGGTGTCCATAAAGGAGTCGCCCGTTATTTATTTTTTAAAAAGGCGGTATTGGCGCAGCCCTGCAATTGCTTGCTCACGCCGCTTGCTGGTGCAAGGGAGTGTTTGACCTAACGGGAATAAAATGTAACAACATCGCTGGAGGGAGTATTTGGCCGAAAGCGAATTCAATGTAACAACATCGTCCTACACACACATTGTACGTCGTGCTCCTTTAAAGCAATACGCAAAGATTCTGAGTTGGATTGTGAAACGTCACTATTTGAAAGATGTCTAATTCATTATATGAGTATGGATTCATTAATTGACACAAGCTTCATCATGGGAAGAGCAGACAGTCACTAATCACGCAATCCCTGCTACGATTTCACCGTTATTTAGGCACGTAACAAGGTGTCGACTGTGAACTAACATTAGTTATTGCACTCACATCGAGTCCGCTGTGTGAGAATCATTCATTTACAATCCACACGCATTGCATGCACAGCTCTAAACAAATTAATCCGAAGGCGAAAATAAAAGGTAAACAATACGTTGTAAAAAGAACATTATTTTTTATTCACATCGCAGCCACACGTTGTAATGATTCTTCAAATAGATGTGTTTTGTTTAACCCGTCGCATTGATCAAATATTTCTCATTTATTAGATTCTGACTAGCACTGTGACCTTAAAAGTTAATATCTCTCTATATAGGAGACGTTTCAGGTAATGGCCCTTCTTCATGGCACATGTGCTCAGCCCATTGCCCTAAACGTTACGTATCGTACATTTGACTTTTAACGGCGACACAATTAAATTGACGATTTGTGTTGAGTTGTTGTTATTTTCGTTCGTTGTGATTGTGCACCACTTGCCAACGTAGCAGCAGCAGCATCACCGAATCATCTTTGTCCAGATGGAGGAACGAATAGCTAGGCGCCTAAATATTCGCATTTTCCTTCAGCGTAATGTGCGGTTCATGTAAATCGTGAAGGGCATCAGCGGCATGCCCAGGAGAGGGGATGGCCAAGGAGCAGAGATCACTGCCAAATTCCTGTAGCTCAGTCGCACGTTGCAGACCTTGTTCGTCTCGTTTCCTCCCTTTGGTTTGCATTCCGCACTCGTTTTTAAAAGGTGACGTGTGATCGCACATCCGCGTGTCATCATAATCATCATCACCGTCTTCGCTTTGAAATCTAAACCAGTGGAAATAAACTTCGGCAAATCGAGCTCCATCTATCCTCCAGTCAACGATACCGCCTGTCCACCCGTATCGGACACGCTTCACACCGCAGCAAGTCGATCGGCAGGTCACCTCGTGGCGGGGTAAAGTGTGGGTGACTCCCACCTCTGCTTCCAAGACGAACTGGCCAGCGTGGAAGAGTAGGCCAAAAACACCATCCAGAGGAATCCTCTCTAGACCTCCCGGCAGGTTGAAGCCCCTTCCGCCAAGCAGTTGCAGGGCTGAGCCTTTATCATTTTAAAACATACCATCTGTGTTTGTTGACCTTTTACCTGTTATCAGCATTCGCTGTATCCCGATGCCCCTAAGCATGCATGAGTGTGAAGAGATAAGGTTTGCCTGTAGACGGTCAGATATCGCCGTCTAAACACACACATGCACAGATGAATGCGATCATCGCAAGAGATACGGTGGCCTGTAGCGGGTGCAGTGGTGGGAACCCGTCCATACACTGCGCTGTGAACCCTGGTGACCTGAGTTTGATTCCCAGCACTGGCACACCATCACTGCTGCGCAATTAGCAGAGCCAGTCCAGGCCACTCCTTGTCGCCACGTCGCACTGACCTGCACGGTGAGGTATGGTCAAACGAAACACGTAACCGAAATAGTGTTGGGAGGCTTTCCGATTGAAAGTTCAGCACTTGCAATGAATCGCTCTTTGCCCCTGTTGGCAGAAGGTCCTCCAATATAGTGAGCTCTGGAGATACCCTCGAGAGGGGAGTTGGCTTACTCTTCCATGTTGGCCAAATTTATTGGAAGAGGAGCAAGTGCTCGTGCCTTGCATGCATGCATGTGTAGTGAGTCCGCAGACGTACTCTTGGAGGCAACACATGTATTTAACACCAACACACGGGGTAACTACCCCTTAACAGAATAACAACCTATGGTGGTGACCACCAGGCTAACTACACTAGTTACAATGTAACTGCTAATCCACACCGGGACCACAGCTCGGGTCCAGGTCCACGTGTTGGAGACTCGGTAGAACGTAGGACGGAGACAAAGGTTTCTTCAGGATGAACAACGCCGGTGCCCTCTGGGGGACCCGGCCTATATCCACTGCGGCGTGGCTGGCTCTGCCCTTGGCCACGCCCACCTTCCAGAACCCTCGAGCAGGATCTGGACCCCGACCACGTGACCACCCCTAGCCCCCCACTTGGGGCCCCTTTGTAGACTTAACCGGTCACGTGTCACTCTCGGGTCAACCAGAGTTCCACGGCCTTGAGTAACCCCGGCACTCCCACACCCTATCCTGTAGGGGCTGGCACTGCACGCCAAGCGTGGTGCCACCCAGCGCTATCAATCAGCACTCACCGAACCCCTCTAGGGCTGCTACTACACCCACACCCTCGTGGTGTCCGCGGTATCGTTACACCGCACGCCGTGCCTCTCCCGGGCCGGCACAGTGACGTCTCGCGATGTCACTGCACGTGCATGTTGAACTGATGTCGCATCGTACGTAGCCGACCGTACTCATCGGAGGTGCGGGGTAAGGACAACAAACTGAACGCAAAAAAAAAGCACTTCTACCCCAGCACACACGCGTGGCCTGCCGATCGGCGAACTGCGATGAGCCCATTTACACCACAGCTGGTTTGGCAGAGGGGTGGTGCGTGCGGGGAGAGGTGGGGGGGAGATGGGTGGGGGGGAGAGGGGTGGGGGGGGGGAGAGGTGGGGAGAGAGGGGGGAGATTAAAGTAAGTTGCGCCCACTGATTCAACCGCCGCGCCGTGGAGATCAAAACGGCGACCTGTGGAGGACAATATCCAGCGTGCTCGCCATTGTAAATGGCCAGCATCTCCCTGCCGGTATCTCAACATGTCAGTCGCACGGCTTCTATGTCGTCAAAATAGCCGTGCCCCGATGAATCCAGGGCGAAAGGAATCCGATGGGCCTTTTAAACAGAATCTAAATGTTATACCACGCCCTCCCCCCCCCCCTCCGAGGTGTGTACGGATTATTTTTCCCCCATAATAAATATAAATGGCCGTCACCGCGATTGGGGGGGGGGGCTCGCTGTCCGAACGCGCCACCCCCCGGTCAGAGCACCAATGCGGCCAACGCTGGGCGCCTTGCTGGCCAATCTGGCGAGCGAGTTGATGATGGTGATGATGTTGATGATGGTGATGATGCTGATGGTGGTGATGATGTTGATGGTGATGATGTTGATGATGTTGATGATGGTGATGATGGTGATGATGGTCTATGGGCGGCCTCGTGGCCCAGGCCGAGTCTCATCCGTAACGCGACGAGTTGCACGCGCCACGAATCAAGTTTGGTTTTTGAGCTTGACGAATTCAACGTCTCTGGGACGTTTGCACGCTGGATTCGACCGACGTTTAGCAAGGCGCGTAAAAGTGCGTGTCCTACACCTCCGATTATCACGGTTGGCTACGTACGGTGCGAAAGAAGTTCAGCGTACGTTCCCGGTACGGACAAATAGGCCGATTGCAGTGGCTTCAGATGTAGCTCTGTGACGTCATCTTCCATTGCCGTTCTCCCTGCTCATGCACTAAGACCTCCACACATCGTTGAGTTTATATAACATTCGGTTTGTTTCTTAATTCAGCATACTTCAGCTCTGATGAGTAACAATTTCAGATCGATTGCCATATCCCAAAACCAGAATTTGCATGGCAGATTTAAAAAAAAACTGGATCAGAGGCAATCGAAGAGGTTTCAAAAGTAGCTCTATGCTGCCGCCTTTTTTCACAAGGTGATGCACCGCTTTCTGCACTTGAGGGTGTGGGTGGGATGAAGGGTGGGGGGTGGAGAAGGGAGAGTCCAGGACTGGTTGAGACACCACTCACCGCTGATGTTAGCCGCAGCTGGGGAATCGGAGACCACTGCACTACCGATCCCACCCAAGTCGACTATGTCGTTGTTGTTGTTGTGTGCCAACATCTCTCTGGCGGCAGGTGTACATTTACAAGAACAACATCTACTACCAGCACAACGTGCGCAGCCCGGCCATCCCTCTCACCACCTCCGGCAAGGAGGTCTCCGTCTACAATGGCATCACAGACTGGCTGTATGGCGGTGAGCACCGCACACACTCACCGCAACACTCACCGCGCACCCTCACCACACACACTCACCACACTCACCGCACGCACTCACCGCACGCACTCACTGCACACACTCACCGCACACACTCACCGCACGCACTCACCACACACACTCACCACACTCACCGCACGCACTCACCGCACGCACTCACCGCACACACTCACTGCACAGACTCACCGCACACACTCACCACACACACTCACCGCACGCACTCACCGTGCACACTCACCACACACACTCACCGCACATACTCACCATGCACACTCACTACACCACACTCACCGCACACACTCACCGCACACACTCACCGCACCACACTCACCGCACACACTCACCGCACACACTCACCACACACACTCACCGCACACACTCACCTCACGCACTCACCGTGCACACTCACCACACACACTCACCGCACGCACTGACCGTGCACACTCATTACACACACTCACCGCACGCACTGACCGTGCACACTCACTACATACACTCACCGCACGCACTCACCACACACACTCACCGCATGCACTCACCGCACGCACTCACCACACAGACTCACCGCACACACTCACCGCACACACTCACCTCACACACTCACCACGCACCCTCACCACACACACTCACCGCACACACTCACCGCGCACACTCACCACACACCACCAGCAGTGAACACCACACACGCCATAAGTGTTGACGAACCAAAGTGGGGATCACACAATACCGCCGTGTGGACTTCAGTGCCGCACACTTCACACCGCCACAATATTACCGCTTGTGCTCCAGAACATTGTTCGTGACAGAGGGGGGCCCAGTAGCGAGGGGGTCAATTCCCCCCCCGCCCCCCCCCCCCCCCATAGCTAGCGGGCATTCTCTTGACCGGTGGCTCTTCTCACACGTGTCGTACATGCCTGCTTGTGGGCCAGCCTCACCCCTTACACAGGCGAACTGCAGGTAATTAATGAAAGCCATCGTGATTCATTTATAATCATACGACTAATATTCATGGTTTATATCCTCAGCAGGGCAACTATTCTTGACCCCACCCCCGACCCCCCTGAGGCCTGAATATGCGTCATGATCAAAGTAAAACGCTATCCAGAAGCTTTTGTGCGATAATAATAATATTCGAGTGGTAGATGTGCCAGACGCGTGGCTCATGAAGGGCCACGCACCGTATAAACCTCTCGAGCACTGAGCCATCATCGCTGAAAATCCCGAGTTTGAATCTGGGTTGCAAGTCCCAGTGATTAAACCACCGCTTCACTGTAAAATTCCGCGTACTGTATCGGCTCAAGAAAGTAGTTCGCGTTATAACGGTGCGCGTTATAACGGTACACGTTCCATGTTGTTCAAAAAGTGCTATGAGTTTGATGATCCTGCTCGCAACGAATAACAATGGTGAATATTTGAACTGGTCCTGGGCCTCTCCTAGGTCGACTCAGTCCTTAAACAAGTACCCGGTGCGGTGTATAGACATCAGCACTGGGGGGACGAAGGCGGCCGGGCATGGTGCTGGCCACCCGCCCCCCTCGCGTGCCATGCCAGCCTTCATATGTGCTACTCGCTAATAGCACTTGCCCCAACACTGTGTTAGAGGCTAGAATGGTGCTGCTACCTTTATCTTAGGCGTGTGTGACGCGTACGTGTGACGCGTAGGTGTCACGTGCGTGCGTGTCGCGTGCGCGTCTATTGCGTGTGTGTCACGCGTGTCACGTGCGCGTGCGTGTCACGCGACCCAGACGAGATCCTGCACTCCCACGTGGCTCACTGGTGGTCACCGGACGGCGCCCGCCTGGCGTTCGCCGAGATCGACGACTCCAGCGTGGCGACGACGGAGATCCCGCAGTACACGGGGACACTGTACCCGGCGCCGCGCCACCACCCCTACCCCAAGGTGGGCAAAGCCTCGGCTTCCCTCCGGCGCCCAAGTCGGAGATGTTGGGGGGTGGTGGGGGCGCAAGACATGGTCACGCTCTCGTCTCGTTGCCGCATGCCTTTGTTCGACACAAGGGTGGTGGCAGGGTCTCTCCCCCACCAGAGAGAACACTGGGGAGACGCTCTCGAGAGGGCACGTGGCCTCGCGGTCACAGCACGTCGGGACCTCGAATGCCGATCGACCCCCGGGTCCCACAGCCTCTGTCCACCCATCGGTAACGATGGGCGACACCACAGTTGGCCAGTTTTGCCCGTCATACAACAGCGACAGGGCGAATGACAATTACGTGATGTAAATGTTTCCCGATTCACGATTTCGTGGATAATCCACTTAGTGGTAGCAAATAAGTGCTTCATTCCACAGGTAGACGATGATGAATAGTGCGCATCACGGCAACGACGCCAGCTTCACAAAGTGGCCAGAAAGGCACAATCTGGGGGGAAGGGGGGGGGGATAGGGGTGTGTGGAGGCCTTGAATCTAAACGGGCTGCCCACTCCGCCATGTAAACTGGTGAGCGGTGAAGGTTCGGTGAAGTCACGTAGAATGGAAATAATAAAATAATAAAATTAAACATAATAAAATATTATTTCCATTCTACGTGACTTTACCGAAAGAACCACGAAGACGAATCCCTGCAGTCACGAAAGCTTTAAATCGAAATTTAAGGTTCGGTGAGTTGATGACTGGTGAGTGGTGAGTGCCGTCGGTTACGAAAGATGACAGTGGCGCAGCGGTGCCTTGTAGGTGCGAGCGGGCGGGTGCGGTCTCGCCAGCGCGCTCGCGAACACAGGTGGAAACCATGAAACGTGTCAGAATCTCTGAAACGGACATGGGGGCAGCTGGGGAGAAAAACTGAATTTGACAAAAGTGGAAAATAATCTGGCGCAGTCGTGCAGAGCGAAACAAAACCGCGATTATGTTGTTACATAAGAGGCAGGATAGAAAAGTGTGATAACTCTGGGGGAATGAGTTTATTGAGCATTCCACAAGAGGTGTTTAGTGTTCCGCTGAATAGGATATATAAAAACACACGCGCGGATAGAAGTGCACTTAAGGGAAAACACACATGTAGGCTTAGAGTGCGGAGGCGTCGGAGCTATGAGGTTTTTACTTTCAAATGAGGTAGAAGAGCTGGTAAGATGCGGATGTGCTTGGAGTTGTTACTTTTTTTCATATCGAAGTAGTCGTAATAATAACAATAGTTTTGTTTAGCCGAGCAAGCCTCGCTGAGTGTCAAGACACTTTTTTTTGTCTGGATCGGATAAAATGCAAAGATAAAAGTGCAGCCCTGCAATTCATTTGTTTACGTCACTGCTGTCAGAAAGGGGCTGCACTGTAGGGTATTTGGCCTACTCAGCCACGCCAAAAGAGATGCCACGAAAGAGACGGGGAGTGCTGACACTTTGCCCCACCACGCATGCAACCTGTCGATCGTCTATGCAGGAAGTGTGCCCCATTTTCTGCTGCTGGGTGGACAGAGGCAGGTGAGTTTTGAGAAACTCGCAGCATTTGTTTAAAATGCTCTGCCAGGAAATGTGAGCTATTCCTCGATTAGGATATTTGGCAAATTCCGTAAATGAGTGTTTGGCTCGTGATTCACATGGAGAGATGGGGTGATGGAAACTGGGTATGAAATTAAATAAATAAAAACAATAAAAAGTGATTTCCACTGTAACAAGCATGGCGTATGTCCACTCATCTCTTCTTTCACGTCTCCACATTCCCTTGGCTGGGCCAAGTTAATCCCGTGATTGACTTCCCAAAAACTGGTACTTATTTGATCAACCTTGGATCGATGGGCGGCTACGTTGACCTCTGACCCGGAGACAAGCGGGAAAGTGTTTGCTTTAACCGCTGCGTCACGCGACTGAATTGTCGCTGTAATGCACAGCCATTGTCAATCCACTGCTTGATTAATGCCCCCCCCCCCCCCATGGCTTGGCAATCGGGGGGGGGGGGTTATTTCACCATAATTAATGAGGGTCGTTTCGCCATATTTCAACATCCCTAAGTCACGATTTAAAGCTTTCGTGACTGCAGGGATTCATCTTCTTGTTTCTTTCGGTAAAGTCACGTAGAAGGGAAATAATAAAATAATACAAATAAAGCATAATAAAATACAATTCTCACGACGTTTCGGCCACAACGCAAGCAGCCGTCCTCAGGTGAAGAACAGGTCTGTCGGAAAGACAGACGGCTGCTTGCGTTGTGGCCGAAACGTCGTGAGAATTATTTTATTATGTTTTATTTTTAATTTTTTCCTTTTTACGTGACTTTACCGAAAGAACCAAGAAGATGAATCCCTAAGTCAGTCTTGATTTAAAGCTTTCGTGACTGCAGGAATCCATACCTTCTGGTTCTTTCGGACAAGTCAGGTAGATAGAAAACATAATAAAAGAAAACACGACGTTTCGGTCTGCTGTTGTGGCTTTATATTGGCACGGGAGGGGGGGGGGGGAAGGGGGGGGAAGGAGTTTTATCGAGTCCCGTGCCGATATAAAGCCACAACAGCAGATGGTTTTCTCACCTGGAGACGGACGCTTGTGTTGCGACCGAAATGTCGTGTTTTCTTCTATTATTTTTTCTATCTACGTGACTTTACCGAAAGAACCAGAGAGCATCCTTAAGTCACTACGGCCTGGTTAAGCGGGGCCCGTCTCAAAGGATCAGTTCGGATGATCGAACTCGGGTTGCCGCGTTCTTAAGACGGTGCGCTAAGCACTGCACCACCACCACCCCCCCCCCCCCCCCCCATTGCACTCCGGGTCAAATGGGCCAATTGCTTAGGGACGTGTGTGATGGAATTCCAGCTTGCGCGCGCGCGTGTGCGTGTGTGGTTAGAAGCAGATACATTGGAATGGATCGACATCAAGGCCAGTTGTTCGGCTGGCGTGTGTGTATTTTTTTGTGTCACCCACTTTTATTCAACATCGGGCGCAACTCCAGTTGCGCGCTCATTAATGAGCGGCCTTGGAGAGGGCAGTAGAGGCAGTGGGACAAAAACGACTTATCGACCGCTCATTTTGAACTCGATAAAAAAAAGACCCGTAGCACGCGAATGATGCTGCATTGCTTGCTCACTACACCGTGACCTCGGCTGGGGGGCGTCCCAGCCCGTGGTGAGTCTGTCGCCGCTGAGGCCGCCTAGCCTGGCTTTTCCCCACGATCGTGCTCCTGTTGAGGCAGCTGTCACGTGAAATGTGCAAGTATTTCGCTGGCATTCAAAGTCGCCGGTTTTCTATTGCGCATGATAATACCATCCATAATACGGTTTAACGACACCTTTATATTTACACGCACGATCTAAGCGAAAAAAAAACTTTTTATGGATATTGGGTCGGGAAAACCTACGTGTTACACGTAATAATAATAATGACACACCACTAAAGAGAATACGTTTGCGCGTAGATCCACCCCTCCCTTTCGGGAGACTGTGAGTTTGTCTTCTTCCCATGTCTTCGGTTTTGTTTGTCCATCAGAGGTGGCAGCGATCACCTGGTGGCTTGAAGTGAGATTTCCAAAAACGCAAGTTTTGCCGGCAGTAGCTCGGGATGAGTCCCATGGGAGACCATTTACCCACAGGTGTTAGAACACAGAGACAATATGGTGGCTACGTGATGAGTCCTTTGTATCTCGACAGCGGTGTGCAGATTGCAGGTGCTTGTGAGAAGACATCGGTAAAGCAGATTGTTTTTTGAGAGGCCCCATAAAACCACTTCGTAAGAGAAGAGAGGTAACCCCCAGTGTTAGCACCCATGTATGTGTGTATGTTGAACTTATTTCACACCGTACGTAGCCAACCGTGCTAATCAGAGGTGCACGGGAAGGACCACAGGCAACGGCTGCCTGGTGCAGGAATAATGCATGAATTAGTAATACGTGCGTGCATCTTGCCAGTGAAGCGTGACTCTCTCTAGCGTATGGGAAGTCTGTGCAAATCACAAGTCCGAGTTTTAAGTCTGTGCGCCGTGCGATAGCTTCGGGAGTTGCGCGACTAACACCGCTCAGTCCGCCGGCGAGGGGGCGTAGGATGAGGTCCATTGTCTGGTTCTGGTGGCCGCAGTCGCCCCGTGGGTCGTCTTGAACTCTCCGCTTGTGGAGGAGGTGTGGGCGCAGCGGCCAGTGGCTGTTCTGAAGCGGTTGATGGAGCAACCGTAGACTTCTGGGCAGATCAACGCCGTGTATAGCGATCGTGGGGTCCGTCGATGAGGCTCGTGTTTGGAACGTCCACAGAACATCCACAGTGTTCTGCAGCGATCTTCAATTGGCCACCGCTTCATCCGATTGTCTCGCACGATCGCAAGATTGGTTTGCGGGATTTCAAACGAGTTCGTGGAGGGTCAAGCAGGTCTTGTTTTCATGGTAAATGTACGTTGCCTCGGATTTTTTTCGCAATAGGTTTCCTGTGCGGCGTGACGATCGGTGGCAGTGTTTTTGCGCCACTCAAACGACGATCGTCTCTTGCAACGTAACTGCCCCCTGTGGATGGCACTTTGAATTGCACGGCACAAGGGCTTCGGGTGAACGACTTTGTACGTTGAGAATGGAACGTGCTGTCGATTTCTTTTCTTTATCAGGGCTGGGACTCAGCGCTGCCACCCTGGGAGTCCAGCAATCGTCATGTGCGTTTCGGACGGCGGGTATTGATGTGTGGCAACGGTATTGCGTTGAACTCTATGGCAGCACGCTGCGCAGTTTGTATAGACCGAGGCTGGCTGAGAAATCCGTCCGGGGTTTTGGTCTGCAGTGGGAGAAAGGTGGCACACCCCCGAAGGTGGGACACGGGCGTTGGGCGGGCGGAGGGCGATCGACCAACGGGGAAAACCAGAAGACAGAGAGGCGGTGGGGGAGACTGTGAGCAGACATCGGAGGGTCAGACTTGAACTGTGCAACAACTTTGGAAATTATAGTAATAGGTTTTTACCCTTTCAACTGATACAAAAACTGACACCTTTAT